ATGGAGACTTCAAACTGACTTCAACAGACTGTCTGTCCCGTCTGATGGAGACTTCAAACTGACTTCAACAGACTGTCTGTCCCGTCTGATGGAGACTTCAAACTGACTTCAACAGACTGTCTGTCCCGTCTGATGGAGACTTCAAACTGACTCCAACAGACTGTCTGTCCCGTCTGATGGAGACTTCAAACTGACTTCAACAGACTGTCTGTCCCGTCTGATGGAGACTTCAAACTGACTTCAACAGACTGTCTGTCCCGTCTGATGGAGACTTCAAACTGACTTCAACAGACTGTCTGTCCCGTCTGATAGAGACTTCAAACTGACTTCAACAGACTGTCTGTCCCGTCTGATGGAGACTTCAAACTGACTTCAACAGACTGTCTGTCCCGTCTGATAGAGACTTCAAACTGACTTCAGCAGACTGTCTGTCCCGTCTGATGGAGACTTCAAATGGCTTCAACAGACTGTCTGTCCCGTCTGATGGAGACTTCAAACTGACTTCAGCAGACTGTCTGTCCCGTCTGATGGAGACTTCAAACTGACTTCAGCAGACTGTCTGTCCCGTCTGATGGAGACTTCAAAACTGACTTCAGCAGACTGTCTGTCCCGTCTGATGGAGACTTCAAACTGACTTCAACAGACTGTCTGTCCCCGGCTGATGGAGACTTCAAACTGACTCCAACAGACTGTCTGTCCCGTCTGATAGAGACTTCAAACTGACTTCCAACAGACTGTCTGTCCCGTCTGATGGAGACTTCAAACTGACTTCAACAGACTGTCTGTCCCGTCTGATGGAGACTTCAAACTGACTTCAACAGACTGTCTGTCCCGTCTGATGGAGACTTCAAACTGACTTCAACAGACTGTCTGTCCCGTCTGATGGAGACTTCAAACTGACTTCAACAGACTGTCTGTCCCGTCTGATGGAGACTTCAAACTGACTTCAACTGACTGTCTGTCCCGTCTGATAGAGACTTCAAACTGACTTCAACAGACTGTCTGTCCCGTCTGATGGAGACTTCAAACTGACTTCAACAGACTGTCTGTCCCGTCTAATAGAGACTTCAAACTGACTCCAACAGACTGTCTGTCCCGTCTGATGGAGACTTCAAACTGACTTCAACAGACTGTCTGTCCCGTCTGATAGAGACTTCAAACTGACTTCAGCAGACTGTCTGTCCCGTCTGATAGAGACTTCAAACTGACTCCAACAGACTGTCTGTCCCGTCTGATGGAGACTTCAAACTGACTTCAGCAGACTGTCTGTCCCGTCTGATGGAGACTTCAAACTGACTTCAGCAGACTGTCTGTCCCGTCTGATGGAGACTTCAAACTGACTTCAACAGACTGTCTGTCCCGTCTGATGGAGACTTCAAACTGACTTCAGCAGACTGTCTGTCCCGTCTGATGGAGACTTCAAACTGACTTCAACAGACTGTCTGTCCCGTCTGATGGAGACTTCAAACTGACTTCAGCAGACTGTCTGTCCCGTCTGATAGAGACTTCAAACTGACTCCAACAGACTGTCTGTCCCGTCTGATGGAGACTTCAAACTGACTTCAACAGACTGTCTGTCCCGTCTGATGGAGACTTCAAACTGACTTCAGCAGACTGTCTGTCCCGTCTGATAGAGACTTCAAACTGACTTCAACAGACTGTCTGTCCCGTCTGATGGAGACTTCAAACTGACTTCAACAGACTGTCTGTCCCGTCTGATAGAGACTTCAAACTGACTCCAACAGACTGTCTGTCCCGTCTGATGGAGACTTCAAACTGACTTCAGCAGACTGTCTGTCCCGTCTGATCGAGACTTCAAACTGACTTCAACAGACTGTCTGTCCCGTCTGATCGAGACTTCAAACCGACTTCAACACGTTCCACATATTTTAGACATTATTGGTGACGTATGTTTTTAGTTCTAAAGTGTTCAGTTCAAATACTCGGCTGCTTTTTCATGCATTTAGATTTTTATTTTCTTGTTCTTATTTCACATTCAAGTCCCCTCTCTTCATGAGCCCTTTCAAGTACTCTGCCACACCACTTATATACCAGGTGCGACTGTTGCTATGTGAGTTCATCCCTCAAATACAAGGTTGCTTGTTTGATTCAAGCTCTTGTAGTCAAGGTGTGTATCCCTAGCATTCGATCAGCTAACTAACGACACACACTCAGAGGACCTTTAGAAACGTTTCAAGCACATCTTTAAACATGACTCTTATGAATCACTTTTAAAACCAGCTGCAGTGTCAGCTTTTCTAAAATAGAAACTTCAATGTTCACATCTTTCTAAATGATTCTACTTTTCAATGACCGACAAATGATCCTAATAATAATCCCATTTTTCAACTGATCAGATGTTTTGGTCAATCAACAAACCTGTTACAAATGTGAGCCTTTGCCACATTTATTTGAATTATTTATATAATTCCTACATAATGGGGAAGCTTGGATCACCATGGAAACCTGTGATCTCTGGACACCTCGTTAGCTCAAATATAAACACCATGGAACACGATGATGACATGCTCAGAGCAGCAGACTTCAGGTAAAGGTGAACGGTCCTCAACAGCTGTACGTCAAATCTGAGATCTCACCATATGCCGTTTCCATGGAAACACGATGTTGTCGTAACTCCTATGAAAATGTTCAAAAAGTGCTCAAACTTCACATGTGTGCCAACAGTCCAGCCGTGAAGACATCTACGGGACAGTTTTGAGATTTCTTCAAATGCCGTTGCCATGGCAACACAAGGCTCGCCATGAAACACGGCTTTCTCATAACTTCAGTGAAAATGCTCGAAACAGCCCAAAACTTCACAGGTTTGGTAACGATGCAGCCATCAACGCATCTAAGCGTATTATGGGGTGTCATCAAATGCCGTTGGCATGGCGACAGATCATTCACCATCAAATTAGTTCAAAAGTGTGCAGTTCAAATATTCTGCTGCTTTTCCAAGCCTTTTTACTTTCTTCTCTCTTCACACATTCAAGCCCCCTGTGTTCATGTTTCATTTCAATCTAAAGTCTTCACTTTCTTCTCTCTTCACACATTCAAGCCCCCAGTGTTCATGTTTCATTTTAATCTAAAGTCTTCACTTTCTTCTCTCTTCACACATTCAAGCCCCCAGTGTTCATGTTTCATTTCAATCTAAAGTCTTCACTTTCTTCTCTCTTCACACATTCAAGCCCCCAGTGTTCATGTTTCATTTCAATCTAAAGTCTTCACTTTCTTCTCTCTTCACACATTCAAGCCCCCAGTGTTCATGTTTCATTTCAATCTAAAGTCTTCACTTTCTTCTCTCTTCACACATTCAAGCCCCCAGTGTTCATGTTTCATTTCAATCTAAAGTCTTCACTTTCTTCTCACACATTACATTTCAGCATAGCAGTTTAGCGTCAGCGTTTCAGCATAAAGCATTCCCACTAGCAATTTCTTTAGGAATTGCATTCTCTAGTTATTATTATTATAGCCGTATTTACATTGAAATAGAATGGAATAAAAATATGTGCAGTAATAAAAAGAAATACCCAGATATTGTGTACATTGTGTGCATTGATGCATGAGTCTTACCTCGGGTTAAAGTAAAGATATTTGTGTTTACCTCCAGATTGTTTAGTCTGTTGTCCGCTGCAGAGAAATGCTGGAGCTCCTTCAGCACCGTCAGGTCTCTGATGTCATCGATGTTGTTGTTGTTGATGTTTAGGACGCAAAGAGATTCCTGTGCAGAGAAGATGTTGTTGTTTATTATACAGAACACAGGGATTACATAGCACTAGATTTGTTCTGTTGGTCGACCTGAAGTCAGACCCTGTTGCTCGTGGTTTTGAAGATCTCAAACGGCACATTTACAAAGTGCAGGAACTCTACATTCTTTATAATAATTCCTCAAAAGAAATACTTAACATCTAAAAAATAATGAAATGTTACAATAATATAAAAATATATAAAAATAAAGATTTAAATGTTAAAATAATAAAATAAAGTCTATAAATAATGCCCTAAATTCTCAAAATAATTAGTTAATATATAATGTCGTGCTCTCCTCTAGTGAGCAGGATAAAGATAGCTCTCACAGCGAGGCAGAGGAGGGTCATGGGGTCGAGGAGCAGCTTCTCCCCCGGATTCAGCCTCTGGTTCTCCAGGTGAAGCTCGCTCAGATCTGGAAGATTCTCCAAACCTTCAACCACCAAGATCCTGTTCCCTCCGAGATACCTGAGGAGACACCAGTATCAGCTAGGGCTGCTCGATTATGGCAAAAATCATAATCTCGATTATTTGGGTCAATAATTGATATCACGATTATTAAAAACGATTATCCGTTGACTTTGAAAACATCAATTTATTGGAGAAACATTTTTTTAACAGCATGTTTTTAACAGTCGATTACCCTGAACTTTAAACTCAACTGAAAACCAATTAAAAAAAAGAATAAAAAAAAAAAAGATTAATAATAATAATAAAAAAATGATCGTTATATTTCGATTACGTTGTTTTGTAATCGTTGCAAGCCATAATCGTAATTGCGATTAAAATACGATGAATTGCGCAGCCCTAGTATCAGTGAGGGAGATTACTATTTCAAGATTAAAGGTGTTATAAAGGTACTGGAAGAAGTACTCCCATCCTACTGCGGTACAACAAGCTATACTGTACTCGCTTGCAAGTAAAAGTCCTGTATTAAAACCCTATTTAAGTGTATATATAATAATGTACAGTATAGGCATTATCAGTACTGAACGTAGTGATTGTGCAGTAAAACACGAGTGTGTACGTTGCATTTTACTAATCCTGCAGCAATGCATCATATTCTAGCTTCGTCTCTGTCCTCTGGGTACGTCTGAGATTGACGTCTGAGATTGACCTCTGAGATTGACCTCTGAGATTGACCTCTGAGATTGACCTCTGAGATTTAGCCAAATAGACAGAAATGGCCTTGATTGGTTGGTAAGTTTGTGGTATCTTGATAACATATTCAGTTCCCTGGAGAAAGGACTGTACACAGTTAGGACAAAGAAGAGAAAGCACTTCAACTGATATGGATTAGGAGTCCAATAGGTTTCCTTTCTACACACGTCATCTGCTCCGGATAATACACGGACTACAGAGTACAACCTCATACAAGACTACACGTATAAACAGTCCCTTTAAAGGTGTGTGTGCTCACAGTGTGTGAGCCTCTGCAGGTGTCCAGGTGTGTGAGGTTGTTGTTATGCATGTCCAGGTGTGTGAGGTTGTTGTTCTGCATGTCCAGGTGTGTGAGGTTGTTGTTCTGCATGTCCAGGTGTGTGTGAGGTTGTTGTTCTGCATGTCCAGGTGTGTGAGGTTGTTGTTCTGCATGTCCAGGTGTGTGAGGTTGTTGTTCTGCATGTCCATGTGTGTGTGAGGTTGTTGTTCTGCATGTCCAGGTGTGTGAGGTTGTTGTTCTGCATGTCCAGGTGTGTGAGGTTGTTGTTCTGGATGTCCAGGTGTGTGAGGTTGTTGTTCTGCATGTCCATGTGTGTGTGAGGTTGTTGTTCTGCATGTCCATGTGTGTGTGAGGTTGTTGTTCTGCATGTCCATGTGTGTGTGAGGTTGTTGTTCTGCATGTCCATGTGTGTGAGGTTGTTGTTCTGCATGTCCATGTGTGTGAGGTTGTTGTTCTGCATGTCCAGGTGTGTGAGGTTGTTGTTCTGCATGTCCAGGTGTGTGTGAGGTTGTTGTTCTGCATGTCCAGGTGTGTGTGAGGTTGTTGTTCTGCATGTCCAGGTGTGTGTGAGGTTGTTGTTCTGCATGTCCATGTGTGTGAGGTTGTTGTTCTGCATGTCCATGTGTGTGTGAGGTTGTTGTTCTGCATGTCCAGGTGTGTGAGGTTGTTGTTCTGCATGTCCAGGTGTGTGAGGTTGTTGTTCTGCATGTCCAGGTGTGTGAGGTTGTTGTTCTGCATGTCCAGGTGTGTGAGGTTGTTGTTCTGCATGTCCATGTGTGTGAGGTTGTTGTTCTGCATGTCCAGGTGTGTGAGGTTGTTGTTCTGCATGTCCAGGTGTGTGTGAGGTTGTTGTTCTGCATGTCCAGGTGTGTGAGGTTGTTGTTCTGCATGTCCAGGTGTGTGAGGTTGTTGTTCTGCATGTACAGGTGTGTGAGGTTGTTGTTCTGCATGTCCATGTGTGTGTGAGGTTGTTGTTCTGCATGTACAGGTGTGTGAGGTTGTTGTTCTGCATGTCCAGGTGTGTGAGGTTGTTGTTCTGCATGTCCAGGTGTGTGAGGTTGTTGTTCTGCATGTCCAGGTGTGTGAGGTTGTTGTTCTGCATGTCCAGGTGTGTGAGGTTGTTGTTCTGCATGTCCAGGTGTGTGAGGTTGTTGTTCTGCATGTACAGGGTGTGAGGTTGTTGTTCTGCATGTCCAGGTGTGTGAGGTTGTTGTTCTGCATGTCCAGGTGTGTGAGGTTGTTGTTCTGCATGTCCAGGTGTGTGAGGTTGTTGTTCTGCATGTCCAGGTGTGTGAGGTTGTTGTTCTGCATGTACAGGTGTGTGAGGTTGTTGTTCTGCATGTCCATGTGTGTGTGAGGTTGTTGTTCTGCATGTCCAGGTGTGTGAGGTTGTTGTTCTGCATGTCCAGGTGTGTGAGGTTGTTGTTCTGCATGTACAGGTGTGTGAGGTTGTTGTTCTGCATGTCCAGGTGTGTGAGGGTTGTTGTTCTGCATGTCCAGGTGTGTGAGGTTGTTGTTCTGCATGTACAGGTGTGTGAGGTTGTTGTTCTGCATGTCCATGTGTGTGTGAGGTTGTGTTCTGCATGTCCAGGTGTGTGAGGTTGTTGTTCTGCATGTCCAGGTGTGTGAGGTTGTTGTTCTGGATGTCCAGGTGTGTGAGGTTGTTGTTCTGCATGTACAGGTGTGTGAGGTTGTTGTTCTGCATGTCCATGTGTGTGAGGTTGTTGTTCTGCATGTCCAGGTGTGTGAGGTTGTTGTTCTGCATGTCCAGGTGTGTGAGGTTGTTGTTCTGCATGTCCATGTGTGTGTGAGGTTGTTGTTCTGCATGTCCAGGTGTGTGAGGTTGTTGTTCTGCATGTACAGGTGTGTGAGGTTGTTGTTCTGCATGTACAGGTGTGTGAGGTTGTTGTTCTGCATGTCCAGGTGTGTGTACTCACAGTTTGTTGAGCCTCTGCAGGTGGTGCAGGTTGTCCATGTGTGTGAGGTTGTTGTTCTGCATGTACAGGTGTGTGAGGTTGCAGGCGAAGGCCAGGTTGCAGATGTGTGAGATGTGATTATCGTACAGGTAGAGAACGGTGAGGTTTCTACACATCGAGAGATCCCCCTGAAACAAGGAGGAGGAGAAGTACTCAGGTCTCGTAGTAAAAGTAGAAGTACTCAGGTCTCGTAGTAAAAGTAGAAGTACTCAGATCTCGTAGTAAAAGTAGAAGTACTCAGGTCTCGTAGTAAAAGTAGAAGTACTCAGATCTCGTAGTAAAAGTAGAAGTACTCAGGTCTCGTAGTAAAAGTAGAAGTACTCAGGTCTCGTAGTAAAAGTAGAAGTACTCAGGTCTCGTAGTAAAAGTAGAAGTACTCAGATCTCGTAGTAAAAGTAGAAGTACTCAGGTCTCGTAGTAAAAGTAGAAGTACTCAGGTCTCGTAGTAAAAGGAGAAGTACTCAGGTCTCGTAGTAAAAGTAGAAGTACTCAGGTCTCGTAGTAAAAGGAGAAGTACTCAGGTCTCGTAGTAAAAGGAGAAGTACTCAGGTCTCGTAGTAAAAGCAGAAGTACTCAGGTCTCGTAGTAAAAGTAGAAGTACTCAGGTCTCGTAGTAAAAGTAGAAGTACTCAGGTCTCGTAGTAAAAGGAGAAGTACTCAGGTCTCGTAGTAAAAGTAGAAGTACTCAGGTCTCGTAGTAAAAGTAGAAGTACTCAGGTCTCGTAGTAAAAGTAGAAGTACTCAGGTCTCGTAGTAAAAGTAGAAGTACTCAGATCTCGTAGTAAAAGTAGAAGTACTCAGGTCTCGTAGTAAAAGTAGAAGTACTCAGGTCTCGTAGTAAAAGGAGAAGTACTCAGGTCTCGTAGTAAAAGTAGAAGTACTCAGGTCTCGTAGTAAAAGGAGAAGTACTCAGGTCTCGTAGTAAAAGGAGAAGTACTCAGGTCTCGTAGTAAAGCAGAAGTACTCAGGTCTCGTAGTAAAAGTAGAAGTACTCAGGTCTCGTAGTAAAAGTAGAAGTACTCAGGTCTCGTAGTAAAAGGAGAAGTACTCAGGTCTCGTAGTAAAAGTAGAAGTACTCAGGTCTCGTAGTAAAAGGAGAAGTACTCAGGTCTCGTAGTAAAAGTAGAAGTACTCAGGTCTCGTAGTAAAAGTAGAAGTACTCAGGTCTCGTAGTAAAAGGAGAAGTACTCAGATCTCGTAGTAAAAGTAGAAGTACACCATTTACCTCTGAATTGTAGGAGTAAAAGTATGAAGTGGCATAACGTGGAAATACTCAAGTAAAGTACAAGTATCTCAAAATTGTACTTAAGTACAGTACTTGAGTAAATAATAATAATAATATTTATTTGTGTAGTACCTTCCATACAATAAGAGCAGTTCATTTCACAGAAAATTGATATATAAAAGACATCAAAACAAACTAAAGGTACGAGGATGAAATGGAGGATTAAAAGGAGGACAGCTTCAAACGGAGGAAGTGCAGCAGAGCAGGAGTTCGCTTCTAAAAGGCTAAATTGTACAAATGTGTTTTGAGTTAGTTTTTGAAAGACTTCCACCGAGGTACTGAGCTACTTCCCCCTCTGAGGAAGAGCATCTAGAGTTGAAGCTCTTACTATGTCCTCGATGTTCTTGCTGAAGAAGTGGAGGTGTGTGAGCGTCCTCAGGTACTCTGGGAAGGAAAGGCCTCTTTTCTTTCTGAAGTGGTTTCTAGATTTAGCGATGAGATCCACGGTGAGACGCACCATCGTGTCTCCTGTCAGAAAGAAAGCTTTCAGAAGCAGCCGAGCGTTCAGCAGACGCTGCAGAGAAAACACACACAAAGACCTGGCAGGTAAACACACACTCCTTAGAAAAGATGTTTTCAAATGCCACATTACCTTCAGTAGTCATAACCATAATGACAGGTGAAGATTAGCCCTGCGCAGGACTCAAAATGGCTTTACAATGTCAAATCCCATTGAGGGCTAATTGATGGTTATATAAGATCACTATTGTCCCGGAAACATGCTTAGAGGCTAAAGGTCAGCTGGCCCTTTCATTCAGGGCTCGTTTATTATCCTGACACGAGATGCAATTCATACTTAACAAATACACATTGTTTGAAATCATGGGAGCCCATTTTCACCAGGACAATATGGAACAAGAGCTGATACAAAATATAATCTTGCCCCAGAAATGGTAAATGAATACCAAAAAATAAAGACTTCATATCTAAAAATAATAACATGTTAAAATAATATCAAAATAAAGACTTAAAATGTTAAGATAATCAAATCAAATCTACAAATAATGCCCTAAATTCTCAAAAATAATGAGTTAATATATCAAAATAATACAAAACAATAATAATAATAATACACTTTCTTAATATGTTGTCCTTAATTTGAGGTGTGTTCCTCACCTGATGGAGGCTCGGACCGATACAGAGCTAAAGGCTAACGGACTAGCTCCTCTCCAGAGACTCTCCCAACTGACGGACACAATAACAGATAAGATGGAGAACTAAACCTAAAAAATGTGTCAACGAAGAGAAAGTCAAATATAATGTTTAAACGTCTCCAGGACCAGAACAGGGTGAAATGCTAACTAGATGCTAGCTAAAAAAAAACGAGTCAGGACGTTGTGTTTGATGTTGCCATGGAGATGACGTAAAGCGACGTAAAGGTCACAGAATCTGACGGGTGACAGGATTAAAATAATAACATGTTGAAATAATAAAATAATATCAAAATAAAGACTTAAAATGTTAAGATAATGAAATAAAATCTACAAATAATGCCGTAAATTCTCAATTAGTTAATATATCAAAAATAATACAAAACAATAATACAAATAATAATAATACACTTTCTTAATATTTTGTCATTCATTTGAGGAACTCTCATTAAAATGATGTGTGTGTGCGCGTGTGTGTGTGCGTGTGTTCCTCACCTGATGAGGCTCTGATTGATAAAGAGCTAAAGGCTAACGGACTAGCTCCTCTCCAGAGACCGGTACTTCAATACAGAGAGTAAACAATTAGCAATCTAGTTTGGTTAATAAGTGCGTAAAGCCAGACAAAGGTCAATATAATGTCAAAATGTTCCCAGAACCAGGACATGGTGAAATGCTAACGAGATGCTAGCTAAACTGCTGTAGAAAAAAACGCGAGTCAGGTTGTCGTGTTTGATGTTGCCATGGAGATGACGTAAAGCGACGTAAAGGTCACAGAATCTGACGGGTGACAGTATTCACTGTAACACCAGAAGAGTGAGATCATCTGATTCTTGATGCAAAACATGAATACATGTTACCGTTTTTAAGGGAAATACTTATGTAAATATATACACGAGTTACTACAGGTTAAGACAATAATTCAACAAGGGTGTTACACACTTTTTAGACTATTTTACATGTATGTTACATTAAAAAACAGACCAGTTATGCACTATTTGGGAACTGGTGTCTTTGTACGTTACCATTGTAATCAGATATTTATTTAAGATACAATTAGATACACCTTTGCTAATTCCTGTAGGTTAATACAGGTGTTAAAACAGGGATAAGATTGAATAACAGGATGGGACAGGTAAGAGTACACAGAAGGTAATAAGAATAACACATTTAAAAATGAGCTATATGCTGCAATTACTTACAAAATCTATTAATCTGCAGGTTCTTTTTTAAGTTAATGGTTTGTCAGAAATAGGGAAACATTTGAAGTGTTAAAAGTCCATTGGAAGTCTTTAAACGGCCCAATCATTCACTTTAAGTTGATATTTAACACAGAAACGCCCTTATTAGAGCCCGAAAACTGCATGTTCTGCATGCAAACCTCGACTATGAAGACTTTGTGTGATTATTTTCTATATTTCTGAGCATCTTCCAGAGGCCTCACAGGACCCCCTCGCTCAGTGACCCCTGCAGTGTTAATCTAGATCATGTCGAGACCTGGTTTCCTGTAAGAGAGTAGAGGGGGAGCGTTTATGCAGGAGCACATGGCGGAGAGGAAGTGTGTTTTTTGGGGGGTTTAGTCCCTCTGAGGGCATAACAAAACACTCCAGATCTGCTCATTAGATCCTAATAATGTACAGCTATTAATCAGCAGCCTCATCAATCTGCTCCTTCCTTCAGATCTACATTCCACCGCAGGCTTTTTAAATATGAATGTCTTCATGTTGAGCTGAAATACACAGGATTTATTTTGGCTGCCCACGATTTGACTCTACATAAATGTTCCTATCCCACTTTAAGTCATGCATACTAATGTCCATCTGGTGATAATCACAATATGTACATGTGCAACGAGTTCAATGTGTCTGCTGATTCCTCAAATCAATTTTTAAAAGTGCATACTCTGAATACTTCACACAGTCAAGCATGTAATGTATTTAAATATCTGGCCGAGCTATTCAGTAGAAAAACCCCCATTTTCAATTACATTAAATATAATGTAAAAAGGAGAGTTTGAGAAACGGTGTTCCTTACTGAGGTTTCTTGAAAGCCAAAGTAAATATTATAAATGGTTGTATTGCTGAGTGCCTTTATGCTCGTCTTTAAATGCATTTGATTATTTTAATTGATTCATTTTTTATTTCTTTAATTACATTTCTTTTGGTCGGTGTGTCTTTGTTTTGTTGCCGCTTGGTTGGTTACGTGTAAGTATTAAAATGTTGGTTATTAAGGATCCCCAGCTCATCAGTGCATTCACTCATTGTTAATATCTGTATTTGTGGATGTCATTTGTTTTGTGAAAAATGAAAAACGGAATAAAGATATTGTTAAAAAAAAAAGACATAATCTAATATGTTTCCTAAAGCGCTGCAGGACATAAAGGTCAGATATATAAAAATCATTATAGAACGAGGTGCCAGGTCTCATGCACGGGACAGAAAACAGACCCTTTTCCCTCAGGATGATTTCTACTGCGAAACACGACATCACAAATATACATTCAGCCATTACAATGCCAGCAACACGAGAACGGACAGCAGCCGCGTTGGTGTTTCTCTGCAGAGATGAAGAGCAGAGCATCGAGAGTGAATGGCCTCCAGTGTGAGGCTGTATCTGCACTGCATCTCACACACACACACACACACACACACACACACACACACACACACACACACACACACACACACACACACACACACACACACACACACACACACACACACACACACACACACACACACACACACACACACACACACACACACACACACACACACACACACACACACACACACACACACACACACACACACACACACACACACACACACACACACACACACACACACACACACACACACACACACACACACACACACACAGAGAGCTCTGAGTCTCTGCAGAGGACATGGTTTGTTGTTCCATTATGTAATGCTGCTGCCACTGAGTGACGCCTTAATGCACCACGATGTGTTCAAATGTTCGGGAGAAACAAGTATTGAGGGAGACAATGCTGCAGAACAAGCCCTCTCTTGTTTGACTTTAGAAAAAGGAGGTACAAGGAAAGTGCAAAACATACTTTGGGTAAAGTATAAATAATTTAAAGAATAAAGTTAAATTACCAAGATTTAAATAACTCTATTTGGAGAATTACCCTTTTTCTACAGAAGGGTTTAAAACTAACGAGGGGAGGGAGATTGATTCAGGCCACATGTTGAGAATACATAAATAAATACAAAATTGGTTAAAATAAAGTAAAAATAAAGGTCTAAATGGAGTAGAAAGGAAACTCAGCCACGGTGTATGTTCAACACGATGGAGCATCAACACTCCTTCGGCTTCAAAGGGCCGAAGGATTCCCTTTGAAATAGTGCTGAACCCAAAAAGGAGCTAATCGTAAAGGAAGATAACCAGAAAGACCAAATGTAAGGAAGCAGCAGTTTAAAATAACACACACACACACACACACACACACACACACACACACACACACACACACACACACACACACACACACACACACACACACACACACACACACACACACACACACACACACACACACACACACACACACACACACACACACACACACACACACACACACACACACACACACACACACACACACACACACACACACACACACACACACACACACACACACACACACACACACACACACTTTATTATAGGAACTAAAATGTTTAGTTTCAAGAGAATGAAATAAAGACAAATCGCAGGTTTACTTTTTTTATTTTTCTTGCATGAATTTTCACTGTTTTCAAAGTTTAGCTAACCCTACTCTGAAAACAGAACTCACAGATAATCCTACCCGGGCATTTAGACATAATGTGTGCTGAACAGGAACCAGGTCTTCAGAGGGGATCAGCTGCTGGCTCTGGGTCAGTTCTTAGTTAGCAGACGTGTTGACCTGGTTGAAGAGTTTATCCTTAATCACCTGAGACATCAGGCCGTGAATCGCCTCGATCGTCGTCTTGCAGCTGAAACACCATTCATTCAGTTATTACAAAATGATCATCCACATATGTTCCTGTTTCTAATCTGGATCTGTCATTTAAGACGTGTTTAACCCCTATGAGCGGTCAAACACACATTCATTCAGTTATTACAAAAATAACATTCTGTTTTTGACTGATGACCTTTAATGCACTCTGACCAAATAAAATAAATAATACAATTCTGAAATAAATCCCAGTAAAATATCAAAACCTGTTTTTAACCAGTTCAGCCCCGAGCCTGTGTTTCAGGCCTCAGGCTCCAAAAGGACTTTCCCAGAACAAAGGACCATATCTTCTCAAAGGGTTAAATTAATAATCTTGTTTCTCAAAGTAATGATAAACCTGTGAGTTGGATGAAGAAGAGTCAGAATCAATATAGATGTTTTTTATTTGAAAGAAAATTCAGATTGAACACAGTAAAAAAATGTAAATGTTTGTGTCCGTCCAAAAAATATGTTGTACTTATAGTGAAACCTTGGATGATGGGTTAGTAGACTACAAGCTTTAGGAATCCAAAGTACAACATATAATAAGTACCCTGTATCAAGATTGATGCAAAACAAGTGACCTTTGACCTTTTTAGAGATTTAGCAAAAAAAACTCCACCTCTGAGGTGATTTGGGTGGAAATGGGCGTTTTTGCAGTTTCTCTGGAACCCATTGGTCGATTTTGATGATTGACATCTCTTTCTGACCGTTAGAGCCAATAGAATCGAAGGGGAATCTCCACATACACACCAACGTTACCAAAAAAAAGTGGGGGCTATGCCCATGCAGTAAAGCCAAACCTATCTCTCGCTCTGACATCTGGAAACGGAAAAGCAGGTTTATTGCTGATGGATAATCAGAAATCACTCAAAGGGACACGTTGGATTAACCTATGGATTAACTTCAGCAGCGTTTTGATCGTTTTAATGCCATTGAAGACTTTAGACCAGACTACGACTAAGGGAAGACATATTCCCGTTTTGGCTACCTAGCGCCACGTGTTGTGATTGTCGCGAGTTCTTATCATGGAGTGATGATATAGATACCTATCGATTCTGTGTATTCTCACGATGCTAATCGATATGTTGGATGTGCAGTTACGATAAGTAATAAGGGTGTTATACCGTGTTTTCTGTGCAAACGCCGTTAGCATTTTTTCGCTCGTGGCTAATTCAGAGGCTCAGCGTTAGCTTTGTTTCTTCCCGTTACATGGATATGAAACATTCATAGTTTATTAAATATTAAGATGCCCTCAGACGCTGTTTCCTGCCGATGATGCGTTTTTCCACCAGGGGGCGGGTCGATGGGGTTCAACAGGTTCAACTCACATCAGGCTCTGATGTGAGGCTCTGATGTGAGGCTCTGACATCAGAGCCTCACATCAGAGCCTGACCCAACTGAATGATGAGTGGAGATGTGAGGACAATAGCATCTTATCAATTAAAGTTGTTGTAAACAAAATGATAATACATTTATTTTGTAAGCGCTTTTACAGGTGCTCAAAGTCGCTTTACAGAGGTAGTAACAAATAATAATACATAGATTAATACATGTTTTAGCATCTATAAGCAGACAGTAACCATGGGAACTCAAAGCTCTTTTAATGCTGAATAATAATAATGAATCTCACCTGTCGCGTGTTGCTTTGGCCAGTTTGTCCTCTGACTTCCTGTCGTGCGTGTCCAGTCCCAACATGAAGCTGCCCCGCCCGAGCTGAGCCTCCGACTGCTCCAACTTCTCTGAGAGGTCAAACACCTGACCTGTGGTGTAGTCAGAGTTCTGCACACACACACGTTAATATATCATGTTATTAAACCACATTTAAACTTAACACACACACACACACACACACACACACACACACACACACACACACACACACACACACACACACACACACACACACACACACACACACACACACACACACACACACACACACACACACACACACACACACACACACACACACACACACACACACACCACACACACACACACACCACACACACACACACACACACACACACACACACACACACACACACACACACACACACACACCACACACACACACACAACACACACCACACCACACACACACACACACACACACACACACACACTTCTGTTTATAGAAACTGACAAAGCCGGCTGTCGCCCAGCGGCCGCTCGTCCTGACAGGAAGTCAATTCATCTTCATCACAGAGTGACGCAGAGGAGGAGCTGTTTGGATAACCTCGTGTTTCGAGAGAGACACAAAGTGACTGCAGACACAATGAGCTCCAATCTCTACCGGGGGGGATATCAACATTTAACGTCTTGGGCCGAAATAGCTGCATTTACACTGACATATATAGTGATTTGTGCAACCTCCCACATGTTCTAATGCTCTGTCCCAATTTTAAATAGATATAATATGTAAAATATGATCAAATTAACTCCAATAATAATCATAAAATCCTTTAAATTCTTAAAATAACATTGGGATCACTTAATCTCTACAGGGGGGTGTGTGGACGTATATGAGGAATATCAACATTTAACGTCTTGGGTCAACTTACACTGACTTACATAGTGATTTGTTGCTACTTCCGACATGTTCAAACGCTCTGTGCCTATTTTAAAATCAACAAATAAATAAAAACAATATGTAAAATATGATAAAATGTACTAAAAAGAAAATCCTTTACATTCTTAAAACAACATTGAAATACACTGGGATCCCTTTTCCTTACATTCAATTAAGAAGCTAATATTATCCTGGCCAAAATAATTGGGCTTATAAAGATCGAAATGATATATTTTCATGTAAATCCTGATTTTATTTAGTGATGATTATGAATGCACTCTGTCCCCATCAAGTAACTCAAATATAGATTACAATAAATCAGATTCATTATCAAAACATGCCTTTCAACTCTTAAATAGCACTAATCTCTAAAAACAATTAACCTTACCTTTAGTTAATAAAACAAATATTTCTACTGTATCACAGATTGGACACGTCTTTTATTTTCAGTGTAAAGCAAACAAAGAATCCTAATTAAGGTCATTATATATCATGAAGCCCTGCTAGCTAACCTGATACCCCCCCAACACTTACTGTACTCCTTTCTACAGAGTTTACATGAGGCTTGTTACCTAAAGCAATAATCAGCGGCTCTGTGTAATTAATCACTGAATCACGACGACTCGGCGCACGTCTGCATGAGTTATAGAGCAATGATTAACCATTCATCAACATGTCGAACAATTAGCAGCCGTTTGAAGCTACGTACCGTCAGGAGGCTGGAGGAGCTGAGCGTGTTCACCCAGTATTTATTCCAGAGCAACTCCAACAGCTTCCTGTCCAGAGACGACTTAAAGTAGGTGACCTCCAGAGCGTAATACCTGAGGGGAAACACGCAGAGGATACAGTAAATACCACACAGTGTATTCTCTCTAGTTATTAAAGTCACATTTTAAATAAACCTGCAGACACTTGTAATGAAATGCAGGTTATACATCTGTGTAACATGGAGAGCATCAAAGTGAAGTTGCACCAGGAATATATAAATATAAATACATACTGTTTACAGTGAACCCCGAAGTCTTCGATCTTGTTTAAGGGGATGGTCTGGTACTCCGAGGGTCCCTCGTCCGGGGGTTTGTACCCCTGACAACACAAACAAATGCAGGTAAATAACAACAAACTGTACCACAAACACATCATTACTATTACAGTCATTATAAGGGATTCATCTGATTAAAAGACTATTTATTCTGGATCACGTATTAGGGTATGGAACGATTAGAGAATCTGTGACGGAGAAATTCACTTAAAATACAAATAAAATATATTCACATAGCTATTTCATAATATACATTTATAAACATTAACTTATGTCCGTTGTGTGTACCATTATATTACATTCTTAAATGGTATATATATATATATATATATATATATATATATATATATATATATATATATTAATATATATATATATATATATATATATATATATATGTATATATATATATATATATATATATATATATTATATATATATATGTATATATATATATGTATATATATATAGAACCAGTCAAAAGTTTGGACACACCTGCTCATTGGAAGGTTTTTAATTATTTTCTAAACTGAAGACATCAAAACTATAAAAGAACATATGGAATCATCTCGGAAACAAAAAAGTGTTAAACAATCAAGAATATGATTTATATTCTTCAAAGTAACCCCGTTGCCTTGGTGACAGCTCCATGAGGTCGTCACTCACATCTACGTGTGCAAACGCAGGTATGGTGAAAAAAGAGAGAACTATTCGGAGCAGCGTAATGTGCCGTCTGACTTTGGCCTGCGCTCTCATGCTTCAATGAACTGTTCTTTATAACATACTCAGATCAGGAGACAGATGTTCAATTAGAAATCAAGGGTTTTTATTATTATTTACAGCAGGGGGGGGGGGGAACCTTTTTCCTTTCAATGTTTACAACATCCTCCGAGGGCCGTACAAATGATTGAACTCAACCTCTGCTTAAAAAAAAACTAAAATCACAGCCCATTCATTTGGCCTTTCTTTCATGCTGTGCAAAGAACAAGCACCCTCTGAATCCAGATCTCTCACCATGACTCGTGCATGCACCACGTGCACGGTGCGGCATGACCACCAAACAGAAAGATATGGACACAAGATGTGTGCAAATGTATTTAGTATCCTATCCATTTGGACATGATTTAAGTGGGGGGGACCTAACCTCCTCTAGGGGGGACCTAACCTCCTCTAGGGGGGGACCTAACCTCCTCTAGGGGGGACCTAACCTCCTCTAGGGGGGACCTAACCTCCTCTAGGGGGGACCTAACCTCCTCTAGGGGGGAACTAACCTCCTCTAGGGGGGGTCCTCACCTCCTCTAGGGGGGAACTAACCTCCTCTAGGGGGGTCCTCACCTCCTCTAGGGGGGTCCTCACCTCCTCTAGGGGGGAACTAACCTCCTCTAGGGGGGTCCTCACCTCCTCTAGGGGGGAACTCACCTCCTCTAGGGGGGAACTAACCTCCTCTAGGGGGGACCTAACCTCCTCTAGGGGGGACCTAACCTCCTCTAGGGGGGACCTAACCTCCTCTAGGGGGGGAACTAACCTCCTCTAGGGGGGTCCTCACCTCCTCTAGGGGGGTCCTCACCTCCTCTAGGGGGGACCTAACCTCCTCTAGGGGGGTCCTCACCTCCTCTAGGGGGGACCTAACCTCCTCTAGGGGGGACCTAACCTCCTCTAGGGGGGTCCTCACCTCCTCTAGGGGGGTCCTCACCTCCTCTAGGGGGGACCTCACCTCCTCTAGGGGGGAACTAACCTCCTCTAGGGGGGTCCTCACCTCCTCTAGGGGGAACTAACCTCCTCTAGGGGGGTCCTCACCTCCTCTAGGGGGGAACTAACCTCCTCTAGGGGGGTCCTCACCTCCTCTAGGGGGGAACTAACCTCCTCTAGGGGGGTCCTCACCTCCTCTAGGGGGGTCCGGGGGCATGCTCCCCCGGGAAGATTTTTTTTTGTTTAATATTGAAGTTAAAAGCATCAATCTGGTGCACCTTGAGAGCAACATGAGGAGATCTATGGAGACATCTCTCAACACCCATATGAAACAGAACTGTAAGCAGATTCTTCTTTTTGGATATTTTTCAAATCACTCCCTTTCAAACTCTATTCTTGTTATTTTTAACAACTTTGTTGTTTCTGTCATATAGTATGTTATACCTGTTTTTCATCTAGTCTCTAATGTCTCATTAATAACTATAATGATCATATCAAGGTGTTGAGGTTATTTGAGCCTCTCAGGAGAGAGCTCTCTTCCACCTGGTTGTAGAAAAGCTCTTTATATTCGTTAGCATAGCTAGCTAACCAGATGCTAACAACAGATCGCCACTGTGCTTACAACTAAAGACACAGCCACGCAAACACTGCGTACGGCTCCTTATGGGTGCTGCAATATCTGAAGAGCTGGAGCGGCGTTCCGGTGCTCTCCGTCAGCACTCTAATCTACCCTCCTTTCAGACGAGACACATACCACGGGAAGACACGTTAAACTCGTGTTGTGTTCAAGGAACCTGTCCTTGGCCAGGAAAAACAGGCACTCGCTTGTTTAATTATTTTGCGGTCTAGATTTCTTCTTCTTTTTTGAAGTGAGAAGTTGTCCGTTAGTCGGACTGACGGACGTAAGGACGGACCCCCCCCCCCCCCAAAACGAAAACTCTTCGGTTCTCCACGAATTACTCAAGTCACCCAAATCAGCGTTAAAAAAGCGGGAGGTGCCGAAAAGCGACTAATTTGCATCACTGCAAATGACAATAAAGCCTTGAATGTTTAAATGCATTTACCTTGGGGTAGGTCCTGAAGGCGCCCAGGTTGACTTTCCCTGCAGAAATGGTGCGGGTGGGGTCAATCTGAGATACAGTAGAGAGGGAAACAGAGGTCAGAGGTCACAGTAATCTCCAGGGAGAGCTCCATTCGCCCACCAGCACTCTGAACTGGGCTGTCAGAGTGTGAGAACACCTCAAACACACACTCATTACACTCGCCCGCGGCCTCGCAGCATGAAGTGTAAACACACAACATTTGGTTGTAAAATATGGAGGGAAAGTCATCCATCAAACATATCAAGGATTAGGGAGAAAACGCGGTAAATGAAATAAAAAATGTCTCCTATTATGCAAGATGCACTATTTTGATGTCTTTTATACAAACACTTCATAGACATGTTTGATCTGAGACCTATAACTCACCACGACGGCCACAAAGGGCTCCTGGAACTGCTGGTTGAGCATCTGAGTGCTGACGTCGATTCCTGAGAGCCAGCATCCGTATCCAGGGTGACTGTGGTACCAGCCAATAGCGTTCTCCAGGCGGCCCACCTGACGCACAGCGGGAGGTAGAATCAATAACGTACAAATCACGTGTTTTTACTGCGTCAGGCCGGTGTGTCCTTGAAGACACTTCACCTGAACTTGCTCCTGTGGGTATTGTCCACAGTAGATGACCATTACATGTATGATCTGTATGTGTAATGTGTATTTGTAAAGCGCTTTCAGAGTCATTGATAAAGCGCTATAATAAATATAAGGATTATTATTGTGTTCTCTTTTTCTGGAAATGAGCTACTTCAAACTAGATTGATCAATAATCTATAGAGTAATCATATGTTGATCATATGTCAACTTAATTAAATGAAAAAGCACATATTTACTATAGAAGAACACACAGGAATATTTAACCCATGAAACAATTGGTGTTGCAAAATGATCCCCATTAAATATCACCGTTCTTCATTCCACTGAAAAGCCATTACTTTAGTGACGGGTGGCGCAGTGGTCTGTGCATCCGATCATCAGATCAAGGGGGGTGCTGGGGAACTCCAGTTCGAAACCCGCTCCTGCCGCCACTGCGTCAGGCCGTTGTGTCCTTGGGCAAGACACTTCACCCGGATTTGCTCCTGTGGGTATTGTCCACAGTACATGTATGATACTAATGTGTACTTGTAAAAGCGCCTCGATGTCTTTGAGGCGTGAAGATGGACGGTGTGGCGCAGTGCGCTGTGCAATGATCATCAGATCAAGGGGTGAAACCCGCCGCTGCTGCGTCTGTAAAGCCGGTGTGTCCTTGGGCAAGACACTTCACCTGAACTTGCTCCTGTGGGTATTGTCCACAGTACATGACCATTGACCATCTGACGTGTAATGTGTATTGTAAAAGCGCTTTGAGCATCTGGAAAAGCGCTTTAATAAATGTAAGTAATTATTATTATTATTATTACAAAACTAGCATTACAGAATTCACTAATTCATTCCTCTGCTGTTTACAGAGAAAGCTTTTGTATATTTTATACACCAAAGGGTAATAAAGCAGTAGCTCCCAGTGCTATTGGTACAAACTGTATACAGCGTCTCCTTTAAGGGCTTATAGTATATAATATACTCATATAGGCGCAGTGTAGTCCACATTGCTAACATTAAAGTAGGTTTCCCTGAATCAGGAGTGAAATTCAGGTCGTGTTTGAAACACTCTAACGGCACAGAGTGAATGCCTCTTCCTCCCACCTGCTTAGCGTTCTCGATGTACGCAGCCATGTACTCGTACGCCGCAGCCTGAGCGTTGACGCGTGTTTCTGTTCCCTCCACCGGCAGCGCGAAGCTGTCCATAATCATCATGGTCTCTCCGTCTACCTTCCCCAGCATCAGCCCCATAACCTCCAGGTTCCCCCCCGACCGTGCGTGCATCACCATCTTCAGGAGGGCCAGAGCCGACACCTTGCAGTACTTAAAGTAGTGGTGACTGTGGGGACACATAGGGTTTATTATACATCTGTATTCAAATGCTCAGGGGAACAGGAGAGATTAGGGAAGATCTAAAATAATGTACTTATATTTAATATATTTATTTAGCATATACATTTTTACTTTGTCATTTATTTTGAGGACATTTCCTTTGTTTGGTTCCCTTTCTTGTATGAATGTGGTTCTTGCATGTCAATTAAATAATAGTAATATATATATATATAGATATTTTTAAGCAAGGTTAAAAATCACCATGTTCCCAATATACTTTCCATTAAGAATGTAATATAATTTAATATTTTATTACTTGAAAAAAACCACCAACAATTAGAAATTTGGAAAAATCATTAAAATAAATCCATATAATATTACAAACAGCAAGCAAATAATTAAATAATTGTTAAATGCTGTAATGTAATGTCAACACATTTCACTCTTAGCCCTCACTGTTTGTACAAATGCTCACATTTCACCTGAGAAACGACTCATATCTGTGTTTAATCAGAATGTAGCTGATTTACAAGCGAGCTCTACAGCTGGTAACAAACAAGAAATGCTAGTTCGTAGCCAAGCTAGCAAGGCTGTTCTCACAATAAAACGTGACAAAGCACACTGTAATACAGATTAAAATCACTTTAAAACCTTTAAATAAACACTAAACTGTTGTTTGTACTCACTCTTTAGTCCATGGCTTTGCAGCGAGGATTTCCTGTTGTTGTTTTTTGTCATATTTGTAGATTTCGTCAATGCCCTGAACCTCGTTCATGCTGTTGGAGAGCTCCCATGTCTTCTGAGCAGTGCTGCTCCCCGCCATCATGAACTACACACGCTATAGAAACCTTAATTATTAATTAAAAAAACCTTTTTACTGCAGGATTAACACAATAAATGTTGTATTTCTCCAAAGATCGTAGCACCGTTACAGGTCAGTTTACCAGGCAGCCATGATAGTGAACGATACCAATACACCAATAACGTTTCGTAATGTTATTGAACATTTAAAGCTGTGTGTTTCGTTACATTACATTCTTAAATATTACCAATGGACTGTATTATAATAGTAATATTCAAACTGCAGGCGATTTTTAACGTAATATTACTGATATTAAAGGTAATTCACCCCTCTGCCTGAGTGAATGGTTCAGTCGATGACGATACCAATACACCATGCGCACAGTTTGTCATAAAGTTACACATATATAATGTTGGTTTATTTTATGTCACATTAATGTGTTTATCGACAAAATATATATGTATTAAAATAATAATATTAGATCTGTAAGTTATGTTTAATGTTTCTATCACTGATATTAAAGTTGAATCCCCCCTCTGCCGGAGGGAATGGTTCAGTCCTAGATTAATGAACCGTTGCTGACATCTCGCGGCGCTTCGAAGAAAAACACCATGAGGCGGTTTTTAATTATTTGGAATGTTCGGGAACAATAATATATTTAACAAATCAACAAAAACTGCTGCTAATTAAGGTAACATTAACTCATTACAACTTAATTTAACGCCTATTTTACAGCGATTTTAAAGTTTTTTTTTAGACACGTTTTCTTTTAATGTTTTGAGTGTGTGTGTCATGTTACCTAGCAACAGAATGATGCTTTGCACCCGGCTCACAGCAACAGATCAGACAGGTCTGTGAAGGAATATTCATAATATAATATGAATTATAATGTTTATATTATAATGCTATACTTCTGTGTTCAATGGGCTGCTGCTGGTGTAACTACAGAGGAATTAAAGCATGGGACCTTTTTCGAGGAAACACCCAAACAATCACATCTGAAGTAGATTCAGGTAAATAATAAAGGTTTGTTTAATATAATATCTTTGTATTTTATGGTATTTTAATAGTAATCTATGTTCTACATCTACTTTACTACATTTCAGAGGGAATTACTACTTTACTGCCCTAGTTACTGTGCAGATTAAAGAGTTTAAAAACCTATAATACAGTACATATTAACAAAATCAAACTAATATAAACAATGAAGACAGTTAGCGTAACCACAGCCAGCTACAACATTAAAATGCATCTTACATGGGGTACTGCTTTAATTGTATTAATTTAATGCAATATATATAAACTAAATGGTCCATATGGCTATTTATCGAGCACAATGTGTACATTTTGTTTACACACTGGCCTACTTAATTCATATTTTGAATGCAGGACATTAACTTATAACAAAATGAACACATCTAATTATTTGGAATAATACTGCATTCCAGTTGGCATTCAAAGTACTAAATCCTACCTGCATTAAACTGTACTAACCTTATTAAATACATATTTTTACATGTATTATTTAGATATCAGTACAACCATTTTCTTTGTTTAGCTTTGTTTTCCTTGTGTTTAGTTTATATTTCTGTGTACAACAAAACAAAGTCAGAGTGGTGTGTGTGTGTGTGTGTGTGTGTGTGTGTGTGCGTGTGCGTGTGCGTGTGTGTGCGTGTGTGTGTGCTGTGTGTGTGTGCTGTGCTGTGTGTGTGTGTGGTGTGTGTGTTGGTGTGTGGCATGGTGGTGTGTGTTGGTGTGTGTG